TGCGGAACGCTCTGAGAGCGTTTCGACACGCGGTGGAACGACTAACCCTGGTCCTGGGCCGCCCCGATGATAGCCCCGATCTCCTCAAAGAAAACTCCCCTGCCTCGAGCCTCACAGAACACACTTTTTTTGCGTCGGCGGCTAGGCAGAGGGACTGCGCCGGCGAGTGAGGCAAAACGGGGCGCGTTTGGCGAATTCTCATTACACCGACCTTGCAGACGTGCTGCAGCGGATGTTTCGCGTGTATTTCTGCCAATGCAAAAAGCCCGAAACGGCGAGCGAAAAACGAAGTGAACGTCACGGGGCTTGTTTGCTTCGTATCCATTCCTGGCCGAACAAAGTCCGCACGAAATTCACTTCGAAATCCGGAGCGACCTTCTCCAGGACACTCCGGGCCCATCCTCTTGCTTTCCAAACGAAATCCGCTCTGCGATGTTGGCGCCATGAGAACTCAACCACCGTGCATTTGGACGCCCGAAATGGGCACGGAAAGAATGGGTACAATGCCCAGCAACAAATGTTGTCCCAAACCAACAGCGGCCACTGTTGGGCAGGCGGCCTTCTGCCTCGAATGGACACAGGCCGCGGCGGCGTGGACAGCGAGTCCTGTTCGAAATGAACAGGAACTGCTGTTGGGCATTGTGCCCATGCTTTCCGTGCCCATCTCGTTCGTGCAGAATGCAGGAGGGCGGGGAAACCACGACGAGGCGCCGGCCCGCCCCACAGAACACACGGAACAGCGCGGGTGGTCCGCACGGCCACCCTCCCCGCGTGCCCCCGCGGGCTTCCTGGGCCGGCGGCGCTGGGCTCCACCCTCGGTCGCCCGCCGGAGAAGCCCGCGCGGACCTCCTGGAGATCATGTGGTCGATATTTCGGAAACCCTGATGACGAACGAACATCACACACCCATACCCATAGGGGCGGTCGTTGGGAGGAGGACTCGCTATGGGTATGGGTGCGGGTTGTCGGACCCTGGGGAACGCTCCCGTTCGAGCGGGGACCCCCATCCGACAACACGTACCCACAGCACTCTCCGATCCCCCTATGGGTATGGGTGTGTGTTGTTGGTTCGTCACCTGAGCTCAAAAACGTTTTCATCTCGTGGGGGACGCAGTTTTCACTGCCGCCGCCTTCCGCCGCCCTTTCGCCGTGGAGGAGATGCCAACTCCTACGACCCTCGAGTGCGGGGCCGTTGTGGGAAGGCCCCATGTGAGCGACGATCAAAAACGGGCCTTACGCGAGATGACGTAGCGACCCTACGCCGCAGCTTGCGCGGGCCGCCAGCGCGGCACGCTGCACTGGAGACGAGGGCGCTCAGGCACGCGATCCTACGCGGGCAGCCTACGCGCCACCGTCAGCGCAGACGACCCGTTTTCTTGCGTCGCTCACCAATATCGGCTACACGCAGGAGCGACCCTGGGTGAGAGTGACCTTTGGTGCGCGACTTTTTGGGGGCCGCGGGGGGGCCAAACCTGGGCGCGCAAGCAGCTGCTACTGCTTCGTTTTTGGCCATCTGGGGACCCATCTAGTCGACAATATGCATGTTGTGGGCTCTGTCTTCCTCGAGGCACCTCCCCACCCCTCTCTTCCCCGTAGGGGCTCCGGGCTGCGCGCAGACAGCCCCCCCCCCAGGTAGTCCCGGCTGGCCTCCACAGGCCCCCACCTGGCCTGAAAAATGGGACCGTCAAAACGCGGGACGCGCTCGTCAAAAAACGTCGGCAAACAAGAGTTCCGGCTTGATCGAGTCCTACGTTTCTCCGAGGAGGCCTCAGCAGGCCACCCGAGCAGTCCCGGGCGGCATCAGCACCTGAATCCTGGGGCGCGTCGCCAGGGTGTTGAGACCGCCCCAGATTACACAGGGGGGCTTGTTGAGGCCAGCTGGGACTAACAGTGGAGATGCCATGACAATGGACATCCTAACTATCCGATAAAGTGTTTAAGATGTAGGAAACATGTTCTAAACATGTTTCAAACATGCTTCTTACATCTCTAGGGCATGCTCATAACGTGTTTAAAACATCTGGAACAGATTTGACAACATGTTTCCTCTCCGCTGCTCGTCGTCCACAAGACTACTCGGGGGGGGCTGTTGAGGCCAGTCGGCGCAACCTGGGAGAAGGGCTCTCTGCGCGCAACCCGAAGCCTTACCACGCTTCCCACCTAGGGTTATGTCGGGCGTGTCCCCCTACAGGCGGATGTTGGACGAAAGATTAAAACTACTCAATATTTATGTAATTATCCCAGTGCGACCCTACCTAGGAGTTGGAGCCCCTAGGAAAGCAGCATTAGTAGTAACAGTAAAGCTAAGCTAAAGCTAAGCTAAAGTTAAGTTAAAGTTAAGTTAAAGCTAAGCTAAATCTAAGCTGAAGACAAGCTAAAGCTGAACTAAAGCTAAGCTAAGGCTAAGCTAAAGCTGAACTAAAGCTAAGCTAAAGCTAAGCTACAGCTAAGCTAAAGCTAAGCTGAAGCTAAGCTAAAGCTAAGCTAAGGCTAAGCTAAGGATAAGCTAAAGTTAAGCTAACACTAAGCTAAAGCTGAGGTACAGCTAAGCTAAAGCTAAGCTGAAGCTAAGCTGAAGCTAAGCTGAAGCTAAGCTAAAGCTAAGCTGAAGCTAAGCTAAAGCTAAGCTGAAGCTAAACTAAATCTAAGCTAAAGCTAAGCTAACGCTAAGCTAAAGCTAAGCTAGAGCTGAGCTAAAGCTAAGCTAAAGCTAAGCTACAGCTAAACTAAAGCTAAGCTAAAGCTACAATTAAAGCTAAGCTGACGCTAAGCTGAAACTAAGCTAAAGCTAAGCTGAAGCTAAGCTAAATATAAGCTAAAGCTAAGCTAACGCTAAGCTAAAGCTAAGCTAACGCTAAGCTAAAGCTAAATCTAAAGTTAACTATACAAAAAGCTCAGCTAAGCTAAGCTAAGGTAAGCCAAGCTACGCTAAGCTAAGCGAAGCCGAGCTAAGCTAAGCGAAGCTAAGCTAAGACGAGATAAGCTAAGCCAAGCTAAGGGGGCGCTATGCTAAGCTATGCTAAGCTATGTTATGCAATACTGTGTTATGGTATGCTATGCTGTGCTATGCCATGCTATGCTAGGCTACGCTAAGCTACATTAGGCTAAGCTCAGCTAGGCTAAGCTAAGCTAAGCTAAGGTAAGCCAAGCTAAGATAATCTAAGCCAAGCCAAGCTAAGCCCAGCTAAGCTAAGACGAGATAAGCTAAGCCAAACTAAGGGGGCGCGACTGGGGGAACCGCGGGGCGGGGACTGGGGGAACCGCCCGGGGCGGTTAGCACTGCCCGGTCCCTTGAAGCTAAGAGAGTAAGAACCCTTCTAGGCAGAGCCTAGGTAGGGAAAAAAGCATGGTCCCATACGATATAAATTAGCCTGGCGAAATGCCCCAACCATATGCAGCTGTGAGTACCGCAGTTGTGAATATCTGCTTCGGTGGAACTCCCTATGGGGCCACTCTGTACTGGGTAGGTGAAACGCAGGGAGCAAGGGCCGTGTTGGGTGGTGGCGGACGCATGCGGGCGGTGCCACTGGGACCTTCCGTGGAGCTCCCTACGGGGCCACGAAGCGCTGTATTGGGTGGGTGTAACGCAGGGAGCAAGGGCCTTGTTGGGAGGTGGCGGACGCATGCGGGCGGTGCCACTGGGACCTTTGGTGGAACCCCCTATGGGGCCACGAAGCGCTGTAATGGGTGGGTGAAGCGCCGGGAGCTGGGACCCTTCGGTGGAGCCCCCCATGTGGGGCCACGAAACGCTGTACTGGGTGGGTGAAACGCAGGGAGCAAGGGCCTTCCTTGTTGGGAGGTGGCGGACGCATGCGGGCGGTGCCACTGGGACCTTCGGTGGAGCCCCCTTTATGGGGCCACGAAACGCTGTACTGGGTGGGTTAAACGCAGGGAGCAAGGGCTGTGCTGGGTGATGGCGGGCGCATGCGGGCGGTGCCACTGGGACCTTCGGTGGAGCCCCCTTATGGGGCCACGAAGCGCTGTCTGGGTAGGTGAATCGCAGGGGCCAAGGGCTGTACTGGGTGGTGGCGGACGCATGCGGGCGGTGCCACTGGGACGTTCGGTGGAACCCCCTATATGGGGCCACGCAACGCTGTACTGGGTGGGTGAAGCGCAGAGAGCAAGGGGTGTACTGGGTGGTGGCAGACGCATGCGGGCGGTGCCACTGGGACCTTCGGTGGAGCCCCCTTATGGGGCCACGAAGCGCTGTACTGGGTGGGCGAAACGCAGGCAGCAAGGGCCTTGTTGGGAGGTGGCGGACGCATGCGGGCGGTGCCACTGGGACCTTCGGTGGAGCCCCCTTTATGGGGCCACGAAACGCTGTACTGGGTGGGTGAAACGCAGGGAGCAAGGGCTGTGCAGGGTGGTGGCGGACGCAGGAGGAGGAGAGGAGAAGAGGAAAGGAACGCGGGTACCGTCTGTCAAGACGAGGACCCAACACCACAGGATGGTTGGGGAAAAACCATTTTATACATAAACAACACGTCCCCTTACGGTTTTTCGACTACTTTTGAATTCTCCTCCTGTAGTGGGACAGGCCCGACTTAAACCTAGGGCGTTGCTTAGGGAGGGGTGGGTGGGGGGACAGATGGAGGGGAGAAGCGCGCACCTTCCGTGCCCCTCCAGAGCCCCACGGGGGCCCCTTCGGGGAACAGGGGGTGCACCATCCTTCGCCCCCCCCCATTGCTCGCCCCTCCTGTAGGCCACGCCATTACTCGGCCCCCCCATTACTCGCCCCATTACTCTTAGGTCGGGCATGTCCTCCTACAGGCGGATTTTGGACGAAGAATTACAAGTACACAAAAAATGCACAAACATGGTGATAATAGCACAAAAATCGTCCCCCGATTATTTTTTCTGTTATTTGTTACTATTCCTCCTGTATAGAGACACGCCCGACTTAACATTACTCGCACCTGCCACCCATTCCTCCAGCAATAGGGCGCGCACGGCTGCCGCGCGGCCCGCGCACACACACATACGCATATGATCCCCGGCGCTCACGGCCCGGTGCGGGGACGCTTGCTGCCCGGAGCCGACAGGCCTCCGCGCTTCCTCGGCGGGGCAGGAGGCGGGAGGAGGCGTTAAGCGTGGGGAAAGGCTGACTGACTGACTGACTGACTGACTGACTGAACCTGCACCAATGCCGAGTTCTGATCTGAGTGCCTCTCGGGCACCGCAGGGACTGTTGGAACGAAAGCGAGACAAAACACGCCTCCTCGTTAGATAGAACAGCACCACGGGGCTCTGTCTGCTGTTGGGGGCTCTAGGCCACATCCCGCCCCGCGCAGAAGCTTCGCGTTGCAAAACGAAAGGGGGAGAGGAAAAGGAAGAAAGAGGAGGGAGAGGAGGACAGGGGGAAGAGGAGCAAAGTGCGAGCTGGGTAAGAAGGAGAGGAGCAGGATTGAGGACGGTCTGGATGAAGAGGGGGAGAAAGAAGCAAGCTTAAGCGGAAACTTGGCGGAGGATGGAGCGGGGATCACAAAGATTGGCAAGACTGGGAGGAAGATGGATCAATATTGAGGAAGGTTGGGGAGGAGTGGTCCATTTGGGGAGGAACTGCAGGACGAAGGTGAAAGGAGGTGGAAGGAGGAAGGAGAGAGGAAGAAGAAGGATGACGGAAGGAGGTTGGTTGGCAGGTCGGTGGTCCAGGTGGGCAGGAAGCAGGAGGGGGAAAACGAACAAGTTGTGCACGAGGAAGGATGACGGCGGGACGAGGAACAGGAGGATCCAGGGAGCCAAGGAGACGGGGGATGCAGCTGTACGATGAGGTCGGGCATGTCCTCTCTACGGGCGGATGTTGGAGGAAAAGTAAACGTACCGACAACATAGTATAAAACATTTGAAACATCCGCCGATCCGGCGTGTGAGTTTCTGAGAGCGTGGACTTGAGCTCGCTCAAGCTTCGCTCTGGAGGTGGGTGGGGGGGGCACATTATTTCCGACGTCATTTCCGACGGTTTTCGGTACACGGGGATATTTCCGACGTCGTTTCCGACGTTTTTCGGTACCCGGGGACAGGGGTGTATAGAAAACTCCACTTCCGGAGCCCCCCCGGATCGGCGGCACTGGCCGGAGGCCAGCCCAAAACTAGAAACACCGTCCCCAAACTATGTTTGACTACTCTTGGACATCCCTCCCGTGGAGGGACAGGCCCGACTTGAGCTTGCGAAGGGGGAGGGGCGGGGAGGACGCGCGTCCCCGCCGCCGTGCCCCGCCGGGCACGCCGGGGCGCGCCAGAGCGCCGTGCCGAGGCCCGTCGGGTGTGGTCCCTGCACGCCTCCACTGGACCCGCCTCCAGGAAGGCCAGAAAGGGCCAAACTCATTGACTTTGCATAGGGTTTCTGCCGACGGCCCGATACGGCCCAAGAGCCCCTCCCCCCCCTCGCACCTCGTCGCGCGCACGGGCCGTACTCCTGGGAGGGGGACCCCTGGGCGGCCCAGGAGGCCCCCCCCCCAGACGGTCCAAGAGGGCCAAGGGGCCGCCGAACGAGCGCTTTTGAGACGCCCAAGATGGCCCCAAGATGGCGCAAGAGGCTTCCAAGGCGCCCCGAGAGGCGAGGCCCCCCAAGAGGGCCCCCAAAGGCGAAAATCATTGATGTCCCTCGCGTTTTTGCAGGACTCTGGCGTTCTCGCATTGTCGGCTTTCCGACGCTCCAAGACGGCCCAAGAGGCCCCCAAGCACACCCCAGAACGGCCCAAGAAGCCTCCAAGAGGGCCCCGCCCCAAGACGGCCCGAGAGGCAGCCAAGACGGCCCAAGAGGGCCCCAAAACAGTTCCCAAAGGGGCCCCAGAGAGGGAGCACGAATCGAAAATCCCAGCCTTCCGCCCCAAGGGCCCCCCCCACGGCCCCGAGAGGCGCCCAAGAGGCCCCAAGACGCCCCCAAGAGGCCCCCAAGAGGCCCCAAAACAGCCCCAAAGAGGACTCAAAACTGCCTCCAAGAGAACCCCGAGAGGCCACCCACGAGATTCCAACGATCATCAGCACCATCCTCATCATCACCATCATTTTCATCATCACCATCACCATCACCATCATCAGCATCAGCACCATCACCAACACCACCATCACCATCACCATCGCCATCACCATCACCATCGTCATCACCATCCGAATCGTCGTCATCATCATCATCATCAACATCATCATCGACATCATTATCATCCTCATCATCGTCATCACCATCATCATGATCGAAATCACCATCATCACCACCATCAGCATCATGACCGTAATCAGCATCCCCAGCAACAGCATCAGCGTTCGCATCACAATCATCATCAACATCATCAACATCATCATCACCATCTTCATCATCATCGTCATCATCATCGTCCGCGTCACCATCATCGCCAGAATCATCAGCATCACCATCATTATCATCAGCACCAGTATCATCATGAGCAGAACCAGCACCATCAGCATCATCACCATTACCATCATCATCAGCATCATCAACATCAGCAGCATCGTCAGCATAATCAGCATGGTCAGCATCATCATCATCATCATCATCATCATCAGCAGCAGCATCATCATCATCGGCATCAGCATCAGCATCATCATCAGCATCATCATCACCATCGACATCATCATCATCATCAGCAGCATCATCATCAGCAACATCATCATGACCATCGTCGTTACCATGATGTTCATACTTCGCGAGTGCGACCTCCGGTGCCCCCTCGAAGGATAGCCGCCGAACATGCTGGGCAGGCCCGGTGGAGGAACTTGCCGCAGAAAGCAGGACACAGATATCCTCAGGAATCTCCCTTCTCCTCCTTATTTCTCTTTTCTCGGGAAACATGCGGACCAACCCCCACAAGCTTCCGAAGACAGCCGAACGCCGTCAACTAAAAAGTAACCTCCGAGAATCACGGACTGCTCCCCATGCCCCTCCTCCTTCCCATCCCACTGATGACTCCCTTCTGGAGAACCCGCCTTCAGACGAACACAGGCATAGGATGTATGGATGTAGATAAATCGGGAATGTCTGAGAACCACCAGGTCTGGAGAATGTATCGGGCGCCGCGTCCGTTCCAGAGCGCTCCGAGTGCTCTGCAGGACACACTCAAGCGATCTGCACTTCTCCTAGGCATGCCTTGACTGGAGTCGTACTGTTGCTGCGCACCCACGGTTTCCACCCAGAACCGGGCCCCCGGGCCCTCGCAGGTAGATCCAGCTCCAAGAATGCCGCAGCAAAATGGAGTCTGGGGCTCTGGTCGTGATGCCTCGCGATGCTGCCTCCCCAAACATCTAGCGATACAACGTGTTCAATGGGGTCCAGCGCCGATGCAAGACATCCGCCCGGAGATCCGACAATTGATGCTTATGCTGGCTGTTCTTCCTCGTGATGTGTTCAATGGGGTCCAGCGCCGATCCAAGAAATCCGCCTGGAGATCCGACAAGTGATGCTCATGCTGGCGGTTCTTCCTCGTGACCACTGGGAGCGCCCCGCCTTCTTGGGGCACTCAAACAAGTACCCACACTGCTGCTCCCAGGACCTCGCCGGGGGGGCGCATCCTGACCACGATCTCGAGGCGCATCCAGCGGTGGCGACGAGGGCCTCCCAGGAGAACCAAGCAGGGCGAAACGGGGCGAAGGGCAGCAGTATTGGTCCCTTTTCCTCCTCCCCAGACCCCCGACGTCATGATCTGTTCAGGACGTCGACCCCTGAATTTTCTACCTGTTCCCCGGGACCGGTATTTCGTCCTGAGTCATTTTTTGACTGTCCCGAGGCTTGGTATTGGCTCCCAGCAGAGGAGGAGGAGGAGGAGGAGGAGGAGGAGGTGGAGGAGGAGGAGGAGGATGAGGAGGAGGAGGAGCAGGAGGAGGAGGAGGAGGAGGAGGAGGAGGAGGAAGAGGAGGAGGATGAGGATGAGTCCTAAAGTCGCGAAGACCTCCAGTCGTGATGTTTTCACTGCTCGAGGGGGTTGGGGGTCTGCCCGTCCTCCCCCATCGACCTCGTCCGCCGCATCGTCGTTCCCTTCCCTTCCCGGCTCAACTCTCGGGGAGGAAGGCACCCGTCGACCGTCGACCTCCCTCGAGCTTGGTCTGGGGGCGGCCATCGCCCTCCTAGGACCACCACTGCCGCGAGGCATCCTCCAGGCAGAGCCGTCGTGCAACCATAAGGAGCGCATCGTAAGGAACGATGGAACTTTTCTGGCCACGGCGGGCCTTGGCCACAAGCAGGCTCCACGACAAACACCGACGGGGTGGCCCGAAAACCCGTGCCACTCCTGAGCTCAAAGCGGTCTTTTGTGTTCAGCATTTTGACGGTAGAGGCGAGAGAAAACCAGCTTCGGGACCCGCATCCCGATCCGACACCGTGTCGTGAGGGACTGAATGGAATGTCCTCAGGCGCCTTGGGGCCCTCATTGCTGAGCATTGCGTTTCTTCTGGGACGTATTGCGCCCCTCCTGGGGTTGGCATGCTTCGCACCTACAACTCACAGCTCTGCTGCTTGTGTGATCTAGCCCCAAAAAGCACTACTGCCCGATACTCAAAGGCCCAACCGTTGTGGGAAGCTCTTATACTACGTAATTGTAAACAATTTTGAAATGCCCGTGGCCCCCATTGCCGGAACTCCTGTGCGATGCTGGGCGATATTGAGATGCGTCGCGTGGCGTTTCCACAGGCCTCGGGAGTGTGGTGCGGAATCCACACTTCAAACAGTTGTGTACGGTAGCCACTGGGCCTACATTGGATTATTATATTGGCCTCTTGGGACGTCATGGAGCTCTGGGTGCCAGCCCAGGAGGCCAACATCATTGAAAGCAGATGCTTGCACGATGTTCGCCCCCCCCACCCCCACCCCACCCGCGGCAAGAGCGCCCACGACGGACCACAAAGAACCCCCAAGCCCCGTCCACGAGAGCCTCCGAGGCTTCAAGAGGGTCCACAAGAGGCCCGAAAGTGGGGCCGGAGAGCAGGAACCCAATCCTGCATCTGGAGGCCTCCACGCCAAGATTGCCCTTCAGATGGCCAGGCGACCCACAGGGGCGCCCAAAAAGCCCTCACGAGGCGCCGTGGAGGGCTCCAGGAGGTCTCCAGGAGGCCCTCCCAGAGGCTTCCAACAGGCCCAAAGAGGCATCCACCCAGGACTCGTCTCCACGACCCCAGACACGGTTGCGAAACGACCCTGGCCGCGCGTGTGGCACGTCCTGCTCCACTGAGGAAGTCCAGACATCGGCCCAATGAAAATTCCTTGAATATTCGTCACATCGCTCGCTCGCGGATGCCGGCGGAAGTAAAACGAGGCGGAAGACGGCGGAAGGCCGTCGGAAGGCTTGCGGAAGAAAGCGGGAGTAGATGACGCCCCGTCCGGACCCCTCTGACCCCCGTAGAAGCCCAGCAACGTAGTCATCTGCCGTGGGCCGGACGGGATCCCGCCGAACTTACTCTATTCAAATATTCAGCCAGGTTAAAATCCCACCCATTAAAAGTAGGATAAACAAATATCCCGGGTCGTTCACGGATCCCGCCATGTTGGGATCGGCTCGAAGTAAGTTTGGGCTCCGAAGTTGAAGCGTTCCTGGCGTGTCAAGATCGTCTTGAAGTCATCTTGAGATCATATATCCGTCATGGTTGGATCGCGCAGCCGTCGCGTGTCCATTCTGGGGCCCCGGGCCATCTCGGCGTCACTCGTGGCTCATGTGTTTGGTCATCTTCGAGTCGGCCTGAGACGGTCCAGAATCCATGGCGGGATCGTGTTGGGGTGGCGTCGTCCCAGGGTCGGCTGGGCGTTATCGCCTTTGGCCTCAGGCACTCCTGGAACCATTATGTGGCCATGGGGACGTACTGGGATCTCGCGCGCGCGAGCGCTCAGCACGCGCGGGCGACAGCTCATCTCGCCGGATGGGTGTACACACATCTGCTTCTCCTTGCGAGCTTCCAGAGGAAACTTCTGTTGGAGCCAAGTATGGCCAAGCCATGCCATGCCTGTGCCCGAGGCCTGCCTCGAACGCAGGAGCCTGCAGTTCGCAAAGATCTCTGTGGCGCCCCGGCACGGCAGGAGCGGCGGCGCCGCGAACGCGCAACAGGATCGGCCGCGGCCGTTCCTGGAGCCCTCCAGCGAGCGTGCGAAGCCCTGCAGCCGGCCGAAGACGTTCCCGTCCTTCGAGGGCGGTCCGAGGGGGGGGGGAATGGGGCAATACCCGGGGACAGCTTTTGGAGCCAGGAACGTACACTCTTCATTTCTGGGATCCAAGGCTACCAATCCCCTTTCCGGCAGGCTGGTTAAGAAACGCTGGGCCAGCTTTTCGGGGGGAGGTGTCTCAATCACAAGCGGGACCGTACAGCTGGACGCGGGAACAACCAGGCGGTCGGGCAACAAAAACGCCCAGGACTCCATCACACGGGAGCTGGGGGGTCGCTCCGAGAGCACGCCACAGTTTCTGCGGGCCAGTCTGGGCAACCCGTGGAGGCACGTCCCCGCATGTGCGTGCCGACGAGAGGCCGTCGCCCTCGTCCTCGTGCCCCCGCTTACCCTGCAGGCGACCTCCGTGACCTCCAACGGCCAAGCGTCCAGACTGGCCCCCCAACACCTGGCTGACTGATGCCACGACACCCCCTTCTTCTACACATGATCATCGCGACGGTGACAAAAGAAAAGAGAGTGGGGGCTGAGCAGGGGGGCGACGGAAGGGGCACACCGACCATCCAAATCGTAAACAAACCGACGCCATGGACTCACGACTGGGATCCTCAGTCTCTGATTCAGGTAATCCCACTACCTTAGTTCCCAGAACCACAAACATCGAACACACAACTTGTCACAGACCTGCTCTCACCGTCGTCGCGCAGTGCGCCTATGCAGAGGAGCTGGGCGAAGATCGCGAGGAGGAAGGGCAGGAAAGGGGAGTGAGAGGGGGGCCCCCCGAGGTCAGAGAATCGAGACAGAAGCGCTACAGAGACGACACCACAACGAGAGAACAAGGCCCCGCTCTTGAGTGCGCGCGAGGACGTGTGGAGCGGGAGCGCTGCTGCTGGCTTGAGAGGGCGGTGTAAGCGCCGAGGGGAGAGCGTCACTCTTGAGTGAAAACGTGCGTGCTATGAACCGAAGCCATCTCTGCTGGAGGGCAAGTTCTCGTCGGCTAGGCAAGAGCATCAGCAATCAGAGCGTGACGATGCTGCTGGCTTAGGGGGCTCGTTTCAGCGCCGAGCCAGCAGCAGCAGTCCTCGATGAGAGTGATGTTCGAGGGCCAGTGTTTGGCAGTGAGCAGCAGCGCCAGTCCTGAATAAAAAACGAAGCGACATCGAGAGGGAGCAATGATATTGGGGGGCTGTTTGCGGCGGAACCCAGAACCACTCGAGCGTGAGCCTTGCTTTCAAAGAACATGTAGCTGACGCAAAGGCGGGAACTCTAAAGCGGATCAACGGGCTCCGATTGTACGTTATGCTTGATACTGACGATCCAAAAGAGACGCACATGGCAGCAGACACCCTGGGTTCGGGCCCCCGGCAAGGTTCCCTCACCCAGGGCCAAAGAGGCAAAGCGAGATTGAGCAGGACACGGGAGGAGTGCGAGGCGGAGCTTCTGCATATCTACCGCCCGGGAAACCGACCTCTCGGGACCCAATGGGACGGTGGATATGGATCTGTGTGGGCTCCAGACGGGCAGGACTATCCCTATCCTTAGGCCGGGCATGTCCTCCTACAGGCGGATTCGGAAGGAAAAATGAAACAGATTCAAAAAGTATCCAAACATTGACAAAAATGGTCGAAACATCGTCCCCAGACTATTTTTTGACTATTCTTGAATGTTCCCCCCGTAAAGGGACAGGCCCGACTTAACTCTACCAATGTGCCGTATTCACTGCCTCCCGAGGGGCGGGAACATGTCGGTTCCACAGGCAGGCGGTGGATCTGTCTACTAAATGCACCGCCTCAGAGCGAGGCGTGGTGAGGAAGGACACCGAGGAGGAAGGGGAAGAGAGGTGGAATAGCATCACTGAAGGGGCCTAGGGACACACGAAAAAATACACACAAATCCAAGGATTCCCCATGGTTTCCCATATGTTCTGAGTGTTCGTCTTCCCCCCCCCACACTTCCCATAGTTTCCCATATTTTCCTGGGAGTCGACGATTAATTGTGTCTGTGTGTTTCTTTCCCTCCTGAATCATGTTGCTCTTCAGGCGGAGCAGCATCTACTACATCTTCACTGGGAATACAAGAGTGGGAGGCAAAACGACTTTGGCCCTGAGGTCCTTCGTGCCGCCGGGGTCGAAGTCCGCCAAGATCACGGCGCGCACCTGCAACCGACACGAGAACAAAGAAGATGAAGGGTCCATCGCAACACGAGCTGCCATGCGCATGGAAGTGGCGCGTAGCTCATCGGCTTCCGCTGTGCAGAAGCTGTAGGCATCTGATACATACGCATAAATGCCATCGCTGCCGCTTCCAGGCATTCGAGCCGCGACAGTTCCGAGCCCTGCATCCCGTACCCAGCCTCAGGGCGCAACCTTATCCACACTATCGGGTCTGACGTAAAGTCGCGCCTCCTCCACACTGCATGCATAGCCATGTGGTGGCGCAAACGCGGGCAGTAGAACTAATGGGCGATCTCGTCGGGAGCCGAACATCCCTAAACACATCGATGTCTCTGGGGCCCTACGTGCATAGGGCGTGAGGTAGTCCAGACACCCGCCAGGGTTTAGAGAACGCTCTATTGCCTGCTAGACCTCGGTGCATGCAAGGCTTTCTTACAGAGCTCCCACCAGGCCACCACTCCCAGAAGCCCGACACCTGGATCAAGGCCCCATGCACTAAACCTTAGCAACGAAATGGAAACACGTGTGTCAGGACAAGCGTACGGAGGCAAGAGTCTGGTGAATACTCGCTGTGGGTGCGGATTATTGCTGTATATCGCTGCCTGATTGGCGTGTTCCCTCGCACCCCTGACTGCAGCGCGCCACTTATCAGCTTGAGCGAATCGAGGGGGAGAACGACGAGCACGCTCCAGGACAGAAGCAACAGAGAAGGGACGCTTCCAGCACGCCGCTGAGTACATGCCAAGCTGAACTCGTACAATCGTAGTGTGGTCTTCTGCGAGTTGCCTGAGGGATTGCACTGCTGTGGCCAGACCGAGTCCAAAGTGTTGAAAGTAGTCCGCCAAGCACTAGCCCATGTCAGCCAGCAGTTTGACGGGGCTGGTGCCCATGCTCAAAAAGGTGCGCCAGGCGTGCATGCCTGAAAGCTCGAAGCTGGTCAGCGGGAGTCGCATCATCCTGTGCAGAGCCTGGTGCTCAAGCTTCCGAATCGAAACTGCGACCCTCGTCAAAATTAACATCAAAAATGGCGACCACACCCCTGCGATGTCGGCGCGCCATTCAATGTCGATAGACGCCCCTCTCGAGGGGCGGCGCATACAAGTACCTCGCAGTCATCGCTACTCTGCCCAGTATCTCCCCGCAGACAGTTCAGCAACGTAAGACATGTTTGAGGTTCATGTTGACGAGCGTTGTGCGATGTGGAAACATGAGCGAGGTAGGACAACGCGGACAAGGCGGTGGAGTCATACAGGATGGCGAACGGGCCAGGGCAGGGATCCACAGTTTGTCGGCCGCGAGTCCCCAAATCGAACCCAGGGTGGCCGCGGGTCCCATGTCTACCCCGAGGTAAATCGTGCACCCCGCAAGTTAAAAACCTTGCCATGAAGGTATGAAGTGTCTTGACTCACTCCTGGCCTGCTCGACTACGGAGCCCGTGCACTCGGCCCAGGATAGGGACTGGCACAGACTTCAGACCCTGGAGCTTCACCAACGACGGAGTCCGAAAACCCACCAACCTCTCGGGGCGCAGGTGGTCTAGGTCACGTTCTCGTCCGACCCCGTTCTTCCCCTTCGGGGAGGGGCGCGATCGGGCCCCAGGGGTGCCTGGCGCGCGTGGCGCGCCTGGCATGGCGCACCTCGCCCCCACGTCGCGCACGTGGGCTCAGTGTTGTGGTTCCCAGTAACTGCCCATCCAAAGACGACCGCTGAACATGCTGAGGCTCGGGTGTTTCTTACGTGCCATCCAGAGGGTGCCCTGACCCATCCCCTACCCCCTCCCCTGGGCCTGGACTGAGGGGGGGGGGGTGGGGGGCGACGCGTTGGACCGTCCAAGATGGTCCAAGACTGCTCCAAGAGCGTCTCAGAGAGCCCAAGACGACTTCCAAGATGGCTCACGATAGCCCAAGGTGCCCCAAGATGGCTCCGAATATGCCCCAAGAGGCCCCAAGAACGCTCCAAGACAGCTACAGGTGGCCACGGAGCCTCCCCAGGAAGCCGCCAAGGAGGCCCAAACCCTTCCCAAACCGAAGGGGACTCAATGTTCGGTGGTTTCTCGCCGTTTCGCGTCCGATGGCCTTCCGAGGCATCAGGATGGCTCCAAGATGTCACAGGAGGACCCTGGCCCCAAGAGGCGATTTTATACAATCTAGAAAAGATGGCTCCAAGAGCGCCCCTAAAGCTCCCAAGAGCGCCCCAAGAGGGCCCCAAGAGGCGCCCAGACGGCCCCAAGAGGATCCCAAGAGACGCCCAAGAGGCCTCAAGAGGATCACGAGACACCCGAGACGCTCACATACGGCCCTGGGACCTCCAAAATGCCCCCCCCCCCCCCCGACGCATTACGCGGCATCAAATTACAGGAGACACCCGAGGAGGCTCCGAGAGGCATTCTAGAAGCTGCTGGCTCTTCTGATCGCCCCTTTCCTCCTCCTCCTCCTCCTCCTCCTCCTCCTCCTCCTCCTCCTTCTCATCAGCAGCATCATCATCACCATCATCATCATCATCATCATCACCATCATCATCATCATCATCAGCATCAGCATCATCATCAACATCATCAGCACCACCATCATCATCATCATCAGCATCAGCATCATCATCATCATCAGCAGCAGCATCAGCATCATCATCAGCATCATCATCATCATCATCATCATCCATGATCATCAGCATCATCATCATCATAATCACCATCATCATCATCATCATCATCATCGTCATCGTCATCGTCATCATCACCACCACCATCATCAGCATCAGCATCATCATCATCACCATCATCAGCATCATCATCACCATCAGCAACATCATCATCATCACCATCATCAGCATCATCACCATCAGCAACACCATCATCAGCATCATCCTGCTCATCATCATCATCGTCATCATCATGGTCAGCATCCTCATCATCAGCATCAGCATCAGCATCATCATCATCATCATCATCATCATCATCATCATCATCATCATCATCATCCGCTTCTTCCTCCTCCACCTCCTCCTCCGCCTCCTCATCATACCCTCCCTCCTCCTCCTACTCCTCATTCTCCTCCTCCTCATACTTCTCCCCCCCCTCCTCCTCCTCCTCCTCCTCATCCTCATCATCATCATCAGCAGCATCAGCATCGGCATTAGCATCATCATCATCATCAGCATCATCATCATCATCATCATCATCATCACCATCATCATCACCATCATCATCTTCAACAGCATCACCATCATCATCATCGTGATCGCATCATCATCAGCATCATCATCATCGTCATCATCGTCATCATCCATCAGCATCATCATCATAATCAACATCATCATCCGCTTCCTCCTCCTCCTCCTCGTCCTCCTCCTCCTCCGCTTACTCCTCCTCCTCTCCTCCTCCTCCTCCTCCTCCTCCTCCTCCTCCTCCTCTCCCCTCCCCTCCTCCTCTTCCTCCTCCTCCTTCTCCTCCTCCTCCTCCTCCTCCTCCTGCTCCTCCCCCTCCTCCTGCTCCTCCCACTTCCTTCTTCTCCCTCCTTCTCCTCGTTCTCCTCCTCCTCCTCCTCCTCCTCCTCCTCCTCCTCCTCCTCCTCCTCCTCCTCCCCCTTCTCCTCCACCTCCTCCTCCTCCTCCTCGTCTCGCCTCTGCTCCTTCTGCTCGCCCTGTTCCTCGTCCGCCTCCTCCCTCCTTTTTCTTCTCCGACTCCTCTTCCTGCTCCTCCTTCTCCTCCTGCGCATACTCATCCATAAATGCATCATCTGTCTCCCTCCTCCCTCATCCCTCCTCATCCTCCGCCTCCTCCTCCTCCTCCTCCTCCTCCTCCTCCTCCTCCTCCTCCTCTTCCTCCTCCGTCTCCTCCTCCGAACGGCAACGGCTGTCCCACATTTTGCTCACACGCTTCCATGATCGCCTCAACTCACCTGGGCGTCGGTTTGGGACGGGCTGGTGGGGATACGCGAAACGCAACGCGGATGCCCCGAAATATTGCAGCAACTTCGATCACCTCCGGAAGGCGAGGCATCACCATCCCAACGTCGCCCGCGCACACCGCCCCAGGGAACCGCTGTGGTGCCTCGCCTCTGGTCTGAGGGTGGATACTCTGAGTCATCTTTAGAATTGGGTTCTCGGCTACAGCTCAGAAGGTTACTGAAAGTGGGCATCCCCGGAGGACCCCATGGCACGAATGAAGCATGGAAACCATATGGTATTGAATACGCGCAACGCCCCCAGGAAGACCATGCAAATCTCGAGTGTCATGCATGAAGCCCTCGGGAAGTCCGAATATACGCATAATCTGGAAGAGCCACTGGTGGCCCAAGCTAGGAAAGGCGGCATCAATATCGTCTGCAGCCAAGGTAGGGAGGTCGTCACTCGCAGTCTCGTTGATGCTCGCCGTCTGCGCCGCAGCATCCATGTTCACGATGCTGGCCAGGAAATGTCTGTTCAGGACGGACCCTTGTTGGACCTCATCCGTCGTCTCCTGAGCTACTGTTCTAAGCTGTCTGGGAGAAGGAGGGGGACCTTCACCTTGACCTTGACCTTAGTCTTGAATCAACCTTCGCCCCATCCTGGTCTGACTTGGCCGCACACGATGTACGGTCACCTTCCACCATGAAAGCTCCGTCGACAGTGTGCTTAACTCCTGTCTGAGGATGTGGTGCGGTTGAGCCAACTTTAGAAGGTTGCCTCGGAAGCTGGGCCTCGAGGTGACAAGTGGAGGAGGAGCAGGAGGAGCAGGAGGGGGAGGAGGAGGGGGAGGGAAGGAAGGAGGAGAAGGAGGAGGAGGGGAGGAAGAGGAGGAGGAGAGGAAGGAGGAGGAGGAGGAGGAAGGGAAGAGGAGGAGGGAGAGGAGAATGAGAGGAGGAGGGGGAGGTGGAGGAGAAGGAGCAGGAGGAGGAGGAGGAGGAGGAGGAGAGATGAGGAGGAGGAGGAGGTGGAGGAGGAGGAAGTAGGAGGAGGAGGAGGAAGTAGGAGAAGGAGGTGGAGCAGGAGGAGGAGGAGCAGGAGGAGGAGGAGGAGGAGGAGGAGGAGCGCCCCTCAGTCAGAAGGCGCCCCAGCACGGCGCGGTGGTGCCTCGGGCAGCAGCCCGCGCAGGAACTCCGCGGCCGGCTGGTCCTGAGGGGGGGGGGGGGCTGCTCCGCCGCCTCGGGCCTTCCCCCTCTGCGCGGGGCGACTGCCCTCTGGCGCCGCGCGCCGTCAAAAAGCGACAGAAGGACGCCCACGTCGGAGCCTGTCGCCGCTTGCCGTCGGACTGTCCTCTGGCGCTGCTTGCCGTCACAACTGGCCGCAAGGGGGCGCGAGCAGGGCGCAGGCCCCACGGGACGCCCACGTCGAAGCGCGGCGGGCGGGGCTGGCCGTCGAACACGGTCCCGGGCAGACCGAAGAGGCAAGGCTGTTCGGGTACCCTTGGGAAGGTTGCCCATCCTCACCCTCGGTCTCGACTGTACTGGGGGGGTGTGGGCGAACAGTGGGAGGGGGAGGAACGTGCTCCATGCTCCTTTCTGGGCCTGGGGGGGAGGCCCTTTATGGCCCCCAAAGTGCGCGAGAAGCGCACGTTTCTCCACCTCCCCAAAAGAATGACGCAACACCCCCGAGTGTTACAGAGAAGCGAAAGGCAGGTTGGCAGAACTGCTCCTCTGCGCATCTAGTGCTGTTTTTGTTGTTCAAAGATGGCGCCCGCTGGCTTCACAGAAGCCGGGAGCGGCCAAGAAGGGGGTGTCCAAGAGGGGGGGGTGCAAATCATTGCCCCCCGTGTGCGTGAGCGATGCCGCACGCGCGGCGCGGTGGGCAGGGGAAGCAGACCAGGAAGGGGCGAGGGGGGGGGGGGGGGGGGGGCGCGACGGGGCTCTGAGAGAGCTCACGCAGGATCCAGCCATGTTCGAAGGGTTCACTTGGGGGGCGAGGAGAAGAGAGAGAGGACGAGGGGTCAGGGAGGTTTTTCCCCTCGTCCCTCGCCTTCTTCACTCGGTTCCTCCCTCTCCTCCCTTCCAGAGCCCCCACCCTGTCGAGCTCCACCCAGACAATCCAAACCCCAATCCGCCTCCCTCCTCTTCGGTTTGCTTCCCATCCCCTCCTACCGCATCGCCCGCGAGGCGGAGTAAGAGGAGGGAAGGAAGTCACTATTTCCAATTTCTTGAACTGCAGCGTTAGAGTAGGCTGCATCGACGAAAAGAAAGCGAGAAGGAGTCGGGAAGCAGGACGTAGGGGCGTGGGCAGGAGGAACAGGACGAAGGGCGGGGGCTTGGAGGGAGAAGTGGAGACCGGGAAGGAGGAGGCAGGGGGAAGGGGGAAGAAGGGGAAGGAGGGGGGGGGTAAAAAGTCGCGCGCAAGGATCGGAAAGGGGGGAAATGAGAGGGGGCATGCCTTCTCAGAAGGCGGCAACACTTCTCAGAAGCCCACTGGCCATCTGGGAAGCCGTCTCTATCGTTCTTTCTCTCTCTCTCTCTGTCTCTTCGGAGCACGCTTAGACAGCTTCTCAGAAGGTCGTGGCCCTTCTGAGCCTTCTGTCAAGGCCCACCCAATCTGCCTTCCTCCATGCGCCCGCCACCGAAATCAAAAGAAGGGGGACGGAAGTGACCGAAAGAGAACGGGACGAGCGCGACAGAGGACGAAAGAGTCAACTCCGATCCCTCAGCAGAGTGGCCAGGCTTGGGCGCCGCCGCATGAGCTGCGTCCGGTAGGCGGCCGCGAACTTGGGGACTGATGTGGCCTTTTGTCGAGCCTCCTTGTACTATAAAAGCAGGATGCGT